GATTTGATACCTAGTCTTCCACTTCCTCGCAGAGTAATCGATTACCTTTCCTCGAAGCAATATTATTCAGAACTTCTACCAGAAGTCGATCAAGATCAGGATGAAGTAGAAAAGCAATCGGATGAGCATGTTACTGAACCAGAACCTGTAGTCTTACCTCCTCAGAGTGCTGTAGTGCACATCATTACTAATAATAATACTAGACAAGATTTTGAGTAAGTATAATAATATAATAATAATAATAATATGATCTTGAGTATTTGTATGTAATTAATTTTTTTTCCCTGGTTTTATAGATTAGATAGCAGATATCGATTTCACGTCATCGAGCACAATACTGATAGTGATGCAGATACTCATCCAGTATCGAGCAGTCGAGCAGATACTGATACAAATACTTATAGTGATGGCAAGGACTTGTGTTCCAGTGATTCTAGCAATATTAATGAAATTGAAGGTATTTAACATATTTAACAAAAATTAAATAAATGCCCCGAATTTTCTGTTTGTTGCTAAATAATGAAAAGTCGAATTTAGAGTCGTTTTATGCGAAATTTTTATATCGGACAGTGTGCAACTATTGGCATGGAATTGTAGTAAATTTTATATTTATATTTATATTTTTGTACCTAAAAAATGCCCCGAATTTTCTATTTATTGAATGAAAAATGAAACTCAGTCGTTTTATTCGAAATTTTTATATCAGAAAGTAAGCAAAAATGGAATTGCAGTAAATTTTATTTAGTTTCTCCTAAGCTAACTGAAAAAGAGGGCCCCCATGTAACATTTGTGAGTTATTTGACAAAAAGTAAAGAGGTGTCTCGAATTTTCTATTTGTTGCGAAAAATTTGTTAAAAATGCCATGGATCTTTGAAAATTTCTTATATTCTTTTATTTTAAATAGTCTTTGAAAAGTCGGGACATTTTTCTACATTTCTTTGAATATCTCGAAAGTTTTGTAACGGAAACACAATTTTTCATTAGTACAGAATTTGTACTAAATAGAATTTACTACAATTTACAAACTATTGCAGATAATTTAGTGATTCATAAAGTTGTTAAAGAACATTTTTAATTTGCCATGTAATAGTAATATCATTGAATTCCAATTTTCACATGTTCACCAAGAATATATTATTATTTTTAAACAATTTTGAAATCGATTTTGATAAATTCAATGGAAAATTTGTGACATTTTTCTACTTTCTTCAAATATCTCGAAAATTTAGTATCGGAGACTGTATTTTTTAGTAAAAACTAGATAAAATTTACTACGTTTTCATGTGAACAGTTATATACAGTCCGATATGAAAGTTTTGAATAAAACGACTTTGAAATCCATTCTTTGATAAATGCAATGGTTCTTTGAAAATTTGAAAAAGCAAAACGGCGAAAAGTTTGTTTTTGATTTTGCTCAAATTGCTCAAGTTAGAAAATAGCCTACATTTCCATAAACTGTTCCATCACCCAGAGACTTAATATTTTTTTCAAATACAATCAGTACGTTTTGGGATCATCATTTTATTTTAGTTTATTATTTTATTAAGTTGTTTTAATAATTATGTTCGACATGGTAGTTAATAACTAAAGAAAATTTGCTCTAGGACTAAATTCTATTTAGTTTTATAATAGTAAGTACATAGGCGATTATAGGCCTTAATTAATCTCATATATAAATGTAGGTTTTGTTGTGTATAAATAGATATATAAATGTATAAAGGGATTTTCCTTTGAAATCTTGTATATAAATGTAGGTTTTGTTGTGTATAAATGGATATATAAATGCATATATGGATTTTTCTTTAAAATCTCATATATAAATGTAGGTTTTGTTGTGTATAAATGGATATATAAATGTATATATGGATTTTTCTTTATAATTTCATATATAAATGTAGGTTTTGTTGTGTATAATTGGATATATAAATGTATATATGGATTTTCCTTTACAATCTCATATATAAATGTAGGTTTTGTTGTGTATGAATGGATATATAAATGTATATATGGATTTTTTATCGAAATTTCATATAAAAATGTAGGTTTTGTTGTGTATAAATGGATATATAAATGTATATATGATTTTCCTTTATAATTCATATAAAAATGTAGGTTTTGTTGTGTATAATTGGATATATAAATGTATATATGGAATTTCCTTTGAAATCTCATATATAAATGTAGGTTTTGTTGTGTATAAATTTATTTTCCTGATTTTCTGATTCTGATTTTCCTTTATAATTTCATATATAAATATAGGATTTGTTGTGTATAAATGAATATATAAATGTATATATGGATTTTCTTTTTTAATTTCATATATAAATGTAGGTTTTGTTGTGTATAAATGTATATATGGATTATCCTTTATAATTTCATATTTAAATGTAGATTTTGTTGTGTATAAATGGATATATAAATGTATATATGGATTTTCCTATAAAATCTCATATATAAATGTAGGTTTTGTTGTGTATAAATGGATATATAAATGTATAAATGGATTTTCCTTTGAAATCTCATATATAATCATAGGTTTTGTTGTGTATAAATGGATATATAAATGTATATATGAATTTTCCTTTGAAATCTCATATATAAATGTAGGTTTTGTGGTGTATAAATGGATATATAAATCCATTTATATATTTAAATATATAAATCCATTTATACATCATTTATAATCAATGGAATCAGTAATTATTAATCATAAAACAACTTAATAAAGTACTAATAAAGACCAAAAATTTTCTTTTAATTGAATTAGGGGTATGACTTGAGCAACTTTATTATATATATATTATATATATATATATATATATATATATATATATTATATTAAAATAATTATTTATTACTAGGAATAAGAAGAGGAAGCAGATTCAGATTGGGTTTGAGGAACAATCGTGAGAGACGTTATTTCGATAGACAAAACACTGATGACTCCAGCTCCTGAAATTTTACATATTAAGTATGTACAACACCAATTTTTCTATATTTTTTATATCAATATACAAATTGGGTTGCATCAACTACAAGCAAATAGTCTAATTGAAGATAAAAGATAAATGGTAATAGAAATTGGTTAATATATATCTTTTTATTATCATTTTTACATCGGGAAGTTCATGCAACTTTCCTTTAGGGAAAATGTAACTTACACCTGATTAATTTTAATTGCATCTTATATTTTTACAATAATTCTTCTAATATTATAATTGAATTTTGATGCAGATAAATAGTGTGATGCAACCCAAATCTAAACTAAAGGAAATCTTATTGTGTATAAAAAAGGAGTTTCTATCATAAATTTTTCATAAACTTTGATTTTTGAAAATTAGTGCTGAGCCATTTGGCATTAAAAAAATCGAGTTTCAAAAAAATCGAACGTTATCCAATAAATAGAATAGAATAAATAAGATATTAAACTATTCTAAAGTGAGTTATGTTGTCAATAATATAACTGTTTCTAATTTATTAAATTATTGGGTTTACCAATCTATAAGGCTAATCTTCCGATAAAATATAAATGTACATTTAACATTTCTATTTTATCCCAGAATTCGCCCATAAATTGAGAGCAATAAAATTGTTCCAAACCGTATATAAAAAAAATACAAACGCTATTACCAAAGATAGAGATCATAATTATCATTAAATGCATCAGTGATATATAATTTATTATATTATAAAATATATCTCATGTCTAGAAATATTATATATATGTTTGTATTAAAAATGTAATTTTTATTTCCATTACTGCAGCGTCCCATTTAAATAAATTCTATTATTTAGAACAAATTTAAATTTTCATAATATAGGAAATATGTAAAATATACAATACTCTAGACATTAGCAAAAAAAATTTCTCATCCCAATTTCAAATTTGTATAAGGCAGTTCTAAACTGTTATTGTGATATCGTATAAACATTTTAAATTCATTCATCCAGTATAGTTAAATGGCCATATTCTCAATGTAAACCATCAATTTGTTGTTTTAATTAATAATGTTTATAATAGATAGTAAATAACCATATTGTAAAAAACAATATTGTGATAAACAGCATGTAATGTATTAAGAAATAGTTTACGAAGAGCTTAATCTGAAATGATTGATTGTGAGTAATTAAGTTAGTAAAAAAAGCACAAAACTTGTCCCAGTTTAAATTTAAATGATTCGGATTAAGTATTTTTTGAATGGTTATTTATGAATTACATTAGTAGTATGTTACATAGATACAATTATGCAAAATATGAATACAAACATCTTTAAAGATTTTTTTTTTGTTACTTGCAGCTTTTTTATGTATAACTAGTTGTTTGCTATATAATCACAGGTTTTGTTGTGTATAAATGGATATATAAATGTATATATAGATTTTCCTTTGAAATCTCATATATAAATGTAGGTTTTGTTGTGTATAAATGGATATATAAATGAATATATGGATTTTTCCTTGAAATCTCTTATATAATCATAGGTTTTGTGGTGTATAAATGGATATATAAATGTATATATAGATTTTCCTTTGAAATCTCATATATAAATCTAGGTTTTGTTGTGTATAAATGGATATATAAATGTATATTTGGATTTTTCTTTGAAATCTCATATATAAATGTAGGTTTTGTTGTGTATAAATGGATATATAAATGTATATATGGATTTTCCTTTAAAATCTCATAGGTTTTGTTGTGTATAAATGGATATATAAATATATATATATATGGATTTTTCTTTAGAATCTCATATAAATGTAGGTTTTGTTGTGTATAATTAGATATATAAATGTATACATGGATTTTCCTTTGATATCTCACATATCAATGTAGGTTTTGTTGTATGTAAATGGATATATAAATTAGAAATAATAATAAGCAGCACACCCACATTACAGAGAATCTGGAGCTGATATATATATATATATATATATATATATATATATATATATACCAAAAAAATATTCAAATTGAAGGATATAAAATTTTATTATGCTCATCATTATACTTCTTTTATCCATATGTGAAAATATTTACATAATTTCATTATGTACTCTCAATTTCATTTCGCTTAGCCCCCTTAAACCATTTTGTCCATTGTATAAATAATATGGTGCTCATAAATTCAGATTTCACACGGGTATCCCCAAAGTTTTTCTAACTATTCGTTCGGCTATTTTGTTAAATTCATTTCTATCTTCTCTCCACATTTTTGCAGCATCCACATTCGCTCCACTTTCATCATTAGGTTCTAAAAGATGATGAAGGAACTTATTAATTATAGTAAATTCTTGGATAAATATTTATTAACAACTGGTTAGTTTTTTGTAGAGATTTGGAAGGTAAAAACTTCATTTTAGCTACCAGATTGGGAAGTTTATGCAACTTGGTGTTATTATAACTTATTTATTTAAAGTTTGGCAAATTATTTTTGAATTTTTGGGACTTTACAAACCTGCTAACATACTGACAACAGAAAGTAATATCTTTTCAACACTTTGTACAGGAGACCACCTTTCTGCACTACTTTCATAACCCATGGGGTCATCACCTGGAGCATGTAGTATCGATATACAAACTCTTCCATCAGCATAAACTAAAATAAATAAATAAATATATATATATATATATATATATATATATATATAAATAGATAGATATATATAATATGAAGTACAAATATATTTACTATTTGGATGAAACATTTCACATGTGAATTGCATCTTTGGAGGACTCAGCGGGTAGTCTGATGGAAACACTAATTTGGCTGGAAAGACACCTCCTTCGAAACATGTTCCTTCAGGACCTCTGAGTAAAAGACATATGATGTAATTATAAACATTGATTTTGGAATATTTTAAGCAGATTTGCAATTTTATTATTTATTTTTATTATTATTACGTTATCAAAGCCTCCCATTCAAAGAAGTTCTCTTCACTTACAGGACCAGCAATGATACCTTCTGGGGGATTCAGAGTTAACTCTAGAATTCAGTACAACTTTTATTATTTTGACATAAATGTTTGTGAGTGTATTTTAATTTAATACGTTTGTACTCAGCCATCAGACGCCTCAAAGCAGAACCAGCCATTGTATGTATATATATTTTTGTTAACTTAAAAATTTATTCGTGATTTGGCATAAACAAAATTTTCGACCTAGATGACAGGTGAGGTGACAGAAAACTGATCCACGTGACGTTGGTTACGAAATGTCAAAGTTTGACATTTGACATTTGACAGCAACGCAAGGGTAATAAATAATTAAAATATTTACAAATTTTAATATATTAGATTCGTAGAAGTAATAAATATTATAAAACAAAATGGATTTTGACACAGTGTGCAGAATTTGTTTAAATAAAGATAATCTGTGTTGTATTTTTGATAGTGATTGTAATGATGTGTCTGTTCCTGAAAAACTCAATGAGTGCGGATGCTTAAGGGTAATTAATTTATTTATTACTATAGTCTTCTTTTTAATATTAATGCTTGGTTATGAATCATTTTATCAGCCTCATCGTTTTTACTCGTCTCAGGTTCATTGACTACCAGTAACACAGTCTCCTATTTAAGTAGGAACTGTAATAGCATATTTAATGATGTAAAATGCAACTACATCATTGCAAAATCAAGGACATACTTAAATACTAATTGTTATGAAGACAATTTATAAATAAATTGTTTTGAATATCATCACATAATGCTTGGGCTCAAAGGGAGCATTTCGTAACCAACCTTCATTAGGCCTACGAGAGCAAAATAGGGTTTTGCTTCAAATGCAAGTCTCATTTTGCCTTTGTTCTATTTTGAGAAGTAGTTCAAGTAGAAGTCTCATATATAATCATAGGTTTTGTTGTGTATAAATGTTTATATGGATTTTTCTTTGAAATCTCATATATAATCATAGGTTTTGTTGTATATAAATGGATATATAAATGTATATAATGATTGTCCTTTGAAATCTCATATATAAATGTAGGTTTTGTTGTGTATAAATGGATATATAAATGTATATATAGATTTTTGAAATCTCATATATAAATGTAAGTTTTGTTGTGTATAAATGGATATATAAATTTTTCCTTGAAATTTTATATATAAATGTAGGCTTTGTTGTTTATAAATGGATATATGGGTCCATTTTTTTCACAAAGTTTCTTGCTAAATTTACTTAATCAGTTCTGTTAATAAATTGTCTTGTTATTATTTTTTTATCAAATTAAGAAACATTTATAACTTTCATTAGGCCTAGGAAAGCAAAATAGGGTTTTGCATTAAATGCAAGTCTTGTTTTACCTGTAGATCATTTGGTCTATTTTCAGAAGTGGTTCAAGTAGATGTTAAAATCCAATTCTTTTACAAGTTCAATTTTAGTTTTTCTTGGTCTTGAATGAACATTTGAAGTAACAAATTTCTTGGTTGAGTTAGGATCTGTCGAAGGTGGATATAGAGAAATCTTTTCAGTTCTGAATAGGTTGGGTTGATTTTTTTCACAAAGTTTCTTGCTGAATTTACCTGATCAATAAGTTCAGTTAATATATTGTCTTGTTATTATTTACACACCCCAGAATGTTGATTAAGTTTAACTCATAATTGTCCAATAAATTATCAGTTATTCTAGTTTAAAAACTTTTAAAGCAATTTTAAAAAAAGCGTACTGTATGATGTACTTTCACATTCACTTATATATCTTTATTGATATATCTAGTGTTGGAACTATTGCGGCAAATAAGAAAGAGATAAATTGTTTCAAATTTACTGGATAAATTTGTAATATATACCTTTGTATAAAGAAGACTTATTTTTATCAATTATCAGAGAAACACAGTCTCAGATTTACTTGATTATTGATAGATTTGTAATCAGTTGCAACATATTTATATATAGGAGACTTAAAAACTCTCACACTACTTCTTCCCTGAATCGAGTTGGAGCACACCCATTATTATTATTATTATTATAGGAGACTTATTCCATGCCACTTTTTTCATCATTTATTTTTAAGATCCTAAATATCTTTTTATTAAATGATATACTATAGTACTGAAATCTATAATCTAATATCTCTACTGCTTGTCATTGGGCTGATCATGGTGGTATTACAAATCCGGAACCAGTGGTCACTAATCCATGTTATTAATACTTAATTTATATTAATTTAAATATGAAAACAAAAAATAATACTTAGCAATTGCCTTGATTATCAATAAATGCATTTTAAATAATGTTTACTGTATAATTCATACTATTTATACATTCCATTACATGTAAGAATAACATGTTTACAAATATTTAAATTCAATTTGTTTCAACAACTATGTTTAGATTTCATTGATTTCCATCACTTCCGACTATGAAGTGCCATGTGTCTCTTCAAATCGATTGATTGTGTAAATTTATCATTGCATATTTCACCTTTGTCAGTAAATTCTGTGCTAAATAATAAGCGTTGTAATTTAATCAAAATCTTTAAAACACGATTTACGATTTCAACTAAATTTAGAGTATTGTTTATTTGACTTTCAAGCATAGAGTGTCAAAAAGACGTGCTACTTGTTAAATACCAAAGATTTGATTTGATAAATGTCTCATCTTTCTATAAACTTCCTCTATGCTTCAAATGTCAAATTTTAGTTGAAATCATTTATCGTATTTTAAAAAATTGTTGATTAAAGTAGTTTATTATTTAGAATACGAATAGTCTTTAGATAATTAGTGAGTACAAGCAGTGAAAATATTTCAAAATGTCAGAAGAAATATTTAAGTCTATGAATGATCAAGTCTATGAGGCAATTATTAAAATTGAACCACCAGAATATTCAACAGGGGACATTAAACTCGAAATTGAAGATGAATTTGATGCCCTTGATGTTACTGTTAAATCTGAATCGTTTACTGAAGACGATGATACGTGTTTAGAAAGATTCATGAATTCCGAGGTGACAATTAAAGATGAAGTCAAACAGGAGTCTTTTGATTGTGACATTTGTAATCAATCATTTGCAGAATCGCATCATCTAACAAAGCATATGGTCGATCACATGCCTAGCGATAGTAAAGAACAAGCCATCAAATGTGAAATCTGTCAAACGACTTTCAAACAATCATTTGCTTTTAAAAATCACATGCACTATCACAATGATAATCCTCAAACGTCACGTGAATGCAAAGAATGCAATAAGACATTCAGTAATTTAAGTAGTCTGAAAAGGCACATGCTGATACACACTGGTGAGCGTCCCTATGAATGCAATGTATGCAAAAAGACATTCAGAAGTTCAACTAGTATGAAAGTACACATGCTAATACACAAAGGTATACGTCCCCATGAATGCAGCATATGTAAGAAGACATTCACACATTTAAATAGTATTAGAAAACACATGCTCACTCACAATGTTAAGCCTCAAACGTCATATGAATGCAAAGAATGCAATAGGACATTCAGGCATTCAGGTAATCTGAAAAAACACATGCTGATACACAAGTCGATTCATAAAGAAGCCCTGTCCTATGAATGCAATATATGCAATAAGACATTCAACCAATTCCGTCGTTTGAAACATCACACGCTCATTCACAGTGGTGAACGCCCCTTTGAGTGCAGTTTATGCGATAAGACATTCATGGAAAGAAATACTCTAAAAATTCATATGAAAATTCACAATGATGAGCGCTCCCACAAATGCAGTATTTGCAACAAGACGTTCAAACATTCAAGTACTCTAAAAGAGCATATGAAAATTCACAGTGGTGAGCGCCCGCATGAGTGCCATATATGCAAGAAGACATTTAGAACTTTAAGCAATATGAAAAGTCATATCTTGTTGGTGCACAATGGAGTACGCCCGTATGAATGCAATAAATGTAATAAGACATTCACACGATCACGTCATCTAAACAATCACATGCTGATTCATAGTGAAGAGCCTCCTTATAAATGTGATATATGTAACGAGGAATTTACTCAATCGAATGATTTGGGGAAACACATGGCACTTCATAGTGGGAAGAGTGATGAAAATCAATGAAATATTAATCCAAATATGATTGTTTTATATTGTTATTTTTAATGATACACAAATGGTATCACAAATCAAATTAGGTATTATATAATGTTTGTAATATAACAAATGATTTTGTAATAAGAACTTTCTATAACAGAAAACATCTGTAGCTTTCCTTATCCTTGAGCAAAGGGTTTAATCACATAGAAACAATATATATTCATTTTTTTTATAACACTTATTAAAATCTGTTGGAAATTGTAACTGTATTATATAGTCAATGTATATTCTGTGCAAAGTGTTATAACTATGCAATAAATGTGCTATGTATAGCATACAATATATATTAAAATTGTAATGTATATTATTAACAAAGCCGAAAGACAAGAATAAATAAAATTTATTGAGAATCAATTTTAGTTTTAAAAACAATTATATATAGAAGACGCACAAATTATTTGAAGACGCATTTTTACAAATTAATTAATAACATGGATTAGCAATCACTGATATGAGACTTCCACTTGAAATAATAGATTCCAAATATAATGTTAAGGAATGTTTTATTCCACTGAATGAATGCTAAATAAATTTCCAAATCATTCATACAATTTTTTATTGATGATATTTAAACAGACAAAAAATTTAAATCACCTATTCCAATTTTATTTATAAATTGTAACATTTTTCAATTTTTTTAATAGGTCTACCAAGGCGATGGCTTGCCTTCTCAGATATGTTCCATTTGTCTGGATCATTTGAATATAGCCTATGAATTTAAACAAAAATGCAAATACTCAGAAGAGTCTTTAAAAATATATCTAAAACAAAACATTGACGAACAGAACCTCTCTATACAATCTAATGACAATAAATTAAATATAGTGGAAAACCTACAGAGTATCAAAGAAGAAATAGTTGTCACCCCAGACACAACACATTTATTGAATAATTCTATAGATGAATCCTCCCCAGACGTACTTAATAATTCTATAGACGAACCCAGGAAGAAACCTGGCAGGACGAGGAAAAAACAACCGACTTTATGTGACACCTGTGGTAAATCTTTTAGATACTCCAGTGAACTTACTCGGCACAAAAGAACTCACTCAGGCTTAAAACCACACGCTTGTTCCATTTGTGAATTCAGATTTACAGAAGCCTCACAACTCAAAAGGCATCTACTTCGCCACACTGGTATCAAGCAGCATAAATGTCCGATTTGTAACAAAGCCTTTGCAGAGACGACCAATGTGAGGAAGCATATTCGAGCTGTTCACAATGTGGAGAAGAATTTAGAGTGTTCGGAGTGCAAGAAAATGTTTTATATGTCTTCGCAGTTGAAAGTTCATATGAGGACTCATACTGGGGAAAAGCCTTATTGTTGTACTATGTGTCCTCAGAAGTTTTCGCATAAGAATAGTTATACAAGGCATTTGAGGTAAGTAACTAATTTTCCTCTTATCCAGTAAAATTTAAGTATTAAAGTGAAATTTCTTTTCAGGGTGCACTCAGGAGAACGCCCGTACTGTTGTAGTGATTGTGGATCCAGTTTTAGTGATTCTGCAAATTTCCGTGCACATATTCGTCTTCACACCGGAGAAACTCCTTATAAGTGCCCCATTTGTAATAAGGGCTACGCACAGAATAGTAACCTCAAGAGCCATATGAAACAACACAAGAAATAGATGCGTACTTATAGACTTGAAGAAATCAATATGTAATTATAGCATACAATAAAGGGGGTATGCCATTAAAAGTATTTTATTAAATTAAATTAATATATATATATATATATATATATATATATGAGATTTTTCAGAAAATATTGAGATTTACGAGAAATTGTGAAATTTTTGAAAAAAAATTTTTTTAAAAAAAATTGACTTTTTTTTGAAAAATTGACTTTTTTTTAATATTGAACTTTTTATCACAGCAATGACGCAGCGTGGATGTTTTAGAGAAGAAATATCAAAGATAATAGTAGGAAACCCAAAGAAATGTAAACAAAATTCATACTTATTAAAATTTCTATGATAATTTGATATACATATACTACTTGTCTATATGCATATGTCTAATTTTCATTTTAGACCTCCAAATGGAATTTTTCCCAGTAATTTCATCAGTTCTTCATTTCCTCAATACAAATAAAATGTTTTTCGAATCATTCGCAGTGAGTACAAATGTCCTTTATAAAGTACTTATTTTTTTACTTATGTAAACTGTATCTTCTGAACATTGTGTAAAATCTTCATATAAACCTAAACTTAATTTTATTATAAAGTCTTATAAAAATAATCATGCCAATATAGAGAAGCTCTTTATCAGATGAAAAACTATTATGGTACTAAATACTAATAGCTTTTTGAATGAATTTAGTAATTATTAACATACCTATAGTATTATGTTTTTACCAGTTAGATCAGTAAATACAAAAATCCTTCATATATTGCCTCGTTTTTGTACTTGTGCAAATGTTATAATCATAACATGGTTATGTTGTTCTGTGTACACATATTGTGTGTAGTATCTTCATTTAAACCTAATAAACTTAATTTTATTATAAATTCAATATAGTTGCTTTTATAATTAGTTAATGTGCACAAATAGAAAACCTTATTGTGCAAATGGAATGGAATAAATTTTGTGTTGCGGATGAAATATTGCTGTTGAATACTAAATATTATTGTACTAAGTAATTATTAACATACTTTTTGTATTAATATATCAAATTTTGATTTTTTGTACTCAATAACACAAATAATCAAACTAAAAGTTTAAATTTAAATAATACTTGTTGCATTTACAAAATGGCCGTTGGTGCTGGTTTGACAGCTAGTCAAAGTAAAAAACCTAGAAATTTAAAATATATAATATCATATTATAATATTATTTTTAGAGTTCTTAAGCAATACGTATTTGAATTATAAGTAATTTTTATTATTATTGGTATTATAATTATTAATATTTAATATATATTGTGCAAATTTAAATTTCATTTTATGTTGGTGGACCTGCAGGAATTTTTGTGTACTTCATCTTGTTGCTGTTGACGTTTCAAACCAAAACAATGAATATAAAAATGTGATTATTTATTTATATATCTGATTTTATAATATAATATCATGATAATAATAAATAATAATAATTTGCATTAGTAATAAGTTTACGAACGTTTGTTAACTTTTTGGCGCTAAAACTTGTAAAACTAGTGTTTGTAAATGCGGTTATGATTTGATTGTCAACAAATAGGTTTGCTTTGAAATTTTCTTAATTTATTAGTTTTATTTTTAGTTATTTTCAGCTAGTGTCAGTGTGTAGTTTTAATGATTTATTTAAAGTCGTTGCTGTGTAATTCAAATTGGCGAATGAAATGTGTTAATTAATATGTGGAATTGTGTTTTTTCATATGTCGCTGTGTAATCCCTAATCCTAAGTTGTAATGTTTAATTATTGAACCAAAAGTGCATAATAGTGTGCAGCATTGTGTTTTTGTTTGGTTTAGCATATTTATCAAGTTGTTTTATCGATATACCCTGTCTTAAAACGAAATTGCGAGCCAATTTTGTACTTTCCTACAGGTTATGTTTTCCTCAGCATCCGCATCCGCCATTTTGAATCCGTGCAACAGCTATTAACTTAGCTATTAAACAGTTCGCAGCTCATTCGCGCGTCATCCTCCAAACTGTCAACATCTCCGCGCAGTGTAGTGCAAAAAAATAAGTAAATATTATTATTTTAAAAAAAATCAGTGTCTAAAAAGTGTGTTCCAGTGTGCAACGTGCATTTAAAAAGGTAAGTGCTGATAGTTTATATAATTTTGCACAATTATTACATTTTAATAACACGATCAGTGACGGCGCCAAAACGATTTTTGGCGTCTTCTAAAATGTCGTATGCGTGCTTTATTTGTTGATTTACGATAAATTTATGTATGTTTATTCAATATTATTGCACTTTTAACCATTATTTATTAAGATTTTTGCATTTTTTTGCAATTCAAAATTTGTGGTTTTGGAAAATTCAAGATGGCGGCCGTAATCACAACCGGTGGTTTTGTTCTGTTTTTAACAATATAGTAGTTTTTGCCACGTATTGTTGATAAAATTTCGATAAAGTTTGACTTGGTGTATCTAATTGCGTTAACAAAAATAGGTCTGTACAGTTTTTTTTTGCAAAAATGTAACATCAAGTTTTTCATCAAGTACCGAATGAAAATGGCGGCTTAACTGTCAACTAACGAATGTTTCATTTGCAATTTTAATATTACAATCGTATCTGCAATGATAATATAATAATAGATAAATATAGCAACGATATTTAAAATTGGACGTTTGCTGTTTGCTATGATAAATTTTTAGCACCATATTTTATAAATAAGTTGACGTTTGCTGCTTTTTTATTTTTTGGCAACGATATTATAAATTGGACGTTTGCCTTTTTTATTACTTTTGGCAACGATATTATATAAATTGGACGTTTGCCTTTCTTTTATATTTTTGGCAACGATATTTAAAATTGGACGTTTGCCATTTTTATTATTTTTGACGATATACAGCAACGATATTATAAATTGGACGTTTGCTCCTTTTATTATTTTTGAATATAAACAGTAACAAAAATATAATTTGGACGTTTGCTGTTTTCAACTGAAATTTAATCTAAACAATCATTAATTATGCTAAATAGTAATTCCATTAATTAATTTAAGTTTCTTTTAATTTCAGATGTCTACCAACATCAGATACAATGACTTCAAAATAGATTTTCTAGAACTTCATGGGTCCTCAATTAGAATCTTCATCAGTGATGGACATTATAAGGTACAAATATATTGTACAATATATTATAAATGGTGTTGTTTTTATTATTTTTGGCAACGATATTATATAAATTGGACGTTTGCTGTTTTTCTTATTATTTTTGGCAACGATATTATATAAATTGGACGTTTGCTGTTTTTATTATTTTTTGGCAACGATATTATAAATTGGACATTTGCTGTCTTTATTATTTTTTGGGCAACGATATTATAAATTGGACATTTGCTGTCTTTATTATTTTTTGGGCAACGATATTATAAATTGGACATTTGCTGTCTTTATTATTTTTTGGGCAACGATATTATATAAATTGGACGTTTGCTGTTTTTATTTTTTTTTGGCAACGATATTATAAATTGGACATTTGCTGTCTTTATTATTTTTGGCAACGATATTATAAATTGGACGTTTGTTGTTTTTGTTATTGTTGGCAACGATACTTAAAATTGGACGTTTGCTGTTATTATTATTTTTGGCAACGATATTATATAAATTGGACGTTTGCTGATTTCATTATGTTTTTAGCAACGATATTATAATCTGGACGTTTGCTGTTTTTATTATTATTTTTGGCAACGATATTATAAATTGGACGTTTGCTGATTTTATTATATTTTTGGCAACGATATTTCAAATTGGACGTTTGCTGCTTTTAATATTTTTGGCAACGATATTATAAATTAGACGTTTGCCTTTTTTATTAATTTTGGCAACGATATTATATAAATTGGACGTTTGCCTGTCTTTAACTGAAATTAAATCATTTTAAACAATAATTAATTATTACTATGCTAATTAACAATAATTAATTATTACTCTTTTAAATAGTAATTTCATTAATTAATTTAAGTCTCTTTTAATTTCAGATATGGGCCATCATCAGGGATACAATGACTTTCAATTAGATTTTCTAGAACTTCCAGGGTCCTCAATTAGAAACTTCATCAGTGATGGACATTTTCAGGTACAAATATTATATATTATGTATGTGTTTTGTTTTTATTATTTTTGGAAACGATGATATAAATTGGACGTTTGCTGTTTTTGTTATTTTTGGCAACGATATTTAAAATTGAATGTTTGCTATTATTATTATTTTTGGCAACGATATTATGAATTGGATGTTTGCTGATTTTATTATATTTTTAGCAACGATATCAAAATTTGGACGTTTGCTGTTTTTATGATTTTTGGCAACGATATTATATAAATTGGACGTTTGCCTTCTTTTATTTTTGGCAACGATATTATAAGTTGGACGTTTGCTACAAAATAAAACCTAAACAATATTTACTATTATGCTAAATAGTAATTCTATTAATTAATTTATGTTTCTTTTAATTTTAGATGTGGGCCATCATCAGATACTATGACTTCCAAATAGATTCTCTAGAACTTTCAGGGTCCTCAACTAGGATCTTCATCAGAGATGGACATTATCGGAGGTACAAATATAATATATACAATTATATATCCAATATTATATTATTATTATATAATATTATATATACAAAATTAGAATATTTGACCAAATTGGACGCTCCGTTCCCTCAAAAACTGCAATAATATTTTCTGCACATTTAGCTCCGTATTTCCAAAACGGCTGAACGTGCCTTTGCCAAAGCACATCTCCTTTTCAATAGGAATCAAATGCTTTTTTTTATTTTATTGGCCTCCGCTTTACAGCATTTTTAGTTACCTACATTATTCATATTATTTTTCAACATATTCTATACAATTCTTACAAATTGTTCTGCCCCATCAGCGACAGAGCCAACAAAATATAGGTTCTTCCTGCTGCTAAGTATCAAGCTGGTACCAGATTGTGAAGGCGAATCACTAAAACAGATGAAGACGTTTGATGTTTATGTTTATTTCATGATTCTTGTACACTTTACATATAATTTTAACAACTGATTTTAAATATAACTCTATTGATTACTAAATACTACTCATAATGATCTGAACATTATTATAACTTGATTACGACTGAACTATTTATAGTATACTCAGGGCCGGTCCTGGGGTCTTTGCGCCCGCATGCAACTTTTTTTCTAGCGCTACCCCTCCCCCCCCCCCTATCAATTTTAACTGTTTTAACAGTTTATCATTAAAATTATATAAATATTTACAAAATTTTTTAAAGTAATTTTCAATTTGATTGGATTTAGTACACAAAAAATAAGATATAATCTAAAAGAGTATAAAATACATTGATTTTAAATTTATTACAAACATATTTAAATTTTCAATTATTTTTAACGTATGTGCAATATTATTATTTGGGTTTGAAACATTTTACTTATTTATTGTGCGATTTATTCCATTGAGCAAATCATGCCAAGACTAGCTTGTCGTTTTCTATCATAACACTCGTATTTCATATTGGATTTTTTAAATTTTAATTTAATTTTATTTTTCACAATATCCAAAATTGCGTCGTAAACTTCTCCTTATTGATATCGTAGGAGCCGAATTGTATTCATCCTTGCTTTCTCGTTATATTCAGATTATCAGATTGTTGTTTTAAAGTTAAATTTTATTATTATTTTTTTTATTTTAGAAGTATTGTCCAAAAATTAGTAAAAAATGCTAATAAATTACACATTTCTTGAACTATATTGACAAAAAACTAATTATATTTGATATGTATTATTTCTGCAGAGGTAATAATTATTAAGTTTAGAGTATGGACACCACAAGGTATAAAAAAAGCCTTAAGATTTTCGTTCCAAAATAAATTTTGCTTTCATTTTTCATATTTGTTTCATTTCGATAACTCTAACCACGCATGTCTTTAACATTCAAAGTTCATCAGATGCAACAAAAACGAAAGTTACAATTCAATTTCTCGGAATAAACATGCCATTTTTTAAGAAATGACTCCCCATTTTTCATTTTCCCGATTATAATTTATTTATATTTTTTAACAAGTTCTGTTTCAACAAAATCAGCTCGTAGTTTTTCGTCAATAATGCCCAATAATTAATTTAATCTTTCGCAGCTTTGCGCTTATGGGCAAACTAGATAATTTCTTTTTCGATTCCATGGTAACTTCAAACAAAGAAAAAATTGAATAAGTTTAGATTAAGCAATAAACAGAGTTGTTATTTACTCATTTGCAGAGTAATTAATAGGTTAATTGTTTCTACTAATATCACATTGCAGTCTCCATATCTATAGTTCAGTTAGAGTGCTCATTATAATTTATCAAGTATTCTATATTTTATATAAATAATAAAAAATATAAATAATATAAATTTAATTTCCGAAACTCGTTTTGGCGCCCCCTAAGGCGTGCGCCCGCATTTTTTGCATGAACTGAGACTGACTAAGACTGACTAAGAATGAACTGGGAATGAACAACTCATTTCATCATCCTGCAGCTTTTATATTCCTTATCAAGATAACGTAATTCTTTTCTAGAATGTTTGTTCGAACTTGTTCAGATTCGTTATATGTAAGTCAGAAACTACGCATCCCTTATTTATTTAAGGCGCAGTTTGTGGTTTTGCAGTTAGAAAGCCTTGCAAAAGACCGTTATTTTTTGAACACTTGTTGTTCTTATCTCTAACGTACAACGTAACAGCTATGACTCAACAAGCATACTGCGTCGTTCATATTCTGACCGTTAAATAGTAATTTATAATATTATTTATAACTAGCTGACCCGGCAAACGTTGTTTTTCTAAGTAAGGTATATTCTAAAGAATTTCTAGGGAATCAAAAATATTAATACTTTAAGTGTATAAGGATGTGTTGTTTCAATGCTATAAACAATGAGGTATTATAAAAATAAAAACTCCCATTATTAACTTCCCGTCGTAGGGTAAGTTATAGTAATCGCAAAAAAATCGAAAATGAAAATTTTTATATATCTTCACGTTTCAGAGGTTTCTGAATATTTTGGCATACCTTAGAAAAAATGTAGGTTAATTCAAAAAACATTCGATTCGTATTGATAAGGAGACGTGCTAATTAGTTTTTAGCGAAGGGAAGTCTAGCCGTTCCGGAGATACGGGGCAAAAAGTGCCGAAAACGGTAACTCAGTTAATCGGAGCGTCCGACTTTAATAATTCAAAAAACATTTTACTTATATTGACAAGATAAAGAATTGATCAAATTTTCATAAAGGCAGGTCTAGCGGTTTCGGAGATCTAACGAAAAAAGTTAAAAAAAAATGCCATTTGGCGGTCAAAAATGATCATTAGACATATGCACATCAAATTTTCAGATATTTTATAGAGATTTTAACAATAAGTATAAATTTTGTTTATTTTCCTATGGGTTCCGTACCAATGTTTACCCGTTAGACAGCGACGCCGCGCTTACGCGCTTTATATTTTGTCTCTATGCAGTTAAAGCAGTACGATTGCGTTGAAAAACAAGTTCAGATCTTCCAAAATATATCAAAATAAAGAAAATTTTCAAAAAAAAGGAATTTTTTTGTACAATTTATAGTTTCTCAAAAATCTTATATTTTTCAAGTATTTTTTTTTCAAAAATGTTAATCGTTTTTAAAAAAAATAATAATTTTTGGTACGGGAAGTCCAAGCAATTTGCCTTAAGGCACGATGCCCTAATTGCCTTAAGACAGAATTCCACTTACAGCTAGGTTTGTCTATATTTTGTCAACACAATCAAACTGGAAGTTTTATACACTTTCTATAGAAAACATGGTATAATCTAATCCAAGTCTTTTTCGGTCTTTCGACTTATTGATTACGTTTCAAGATTTTTTCAGATTCTTTTTGGGTTCTGGATTTTGTGTATAATTGTAAATAATACCACTGAACTTATACAAAATTTTCAAATTTCAGAGGAGAGATAAAAAATTAATTCAGTATTTCTTCTTTGTCCTGCTTTTTGAAAAGTTTTAAGTAACATTCGATGAATTAAAGTAAATTTAATAAAAAGTATGTATGTAGAGCAGAGCGAGGCACGAAGGTCCAATTTGACTTTGAGCAAATATAAACTATATTGTGAAAACCATAACAATTATATCACAACAAATAAGACATATCAAACGAACAATTATCTGACTACGTTCAGTAAACTGCCTTCTACTTCATTATTGTAGAAATGTTTTTTTTTTATGTCTTCCAAAAATTTTTTTATTTAGACCTTTTTACCCTTTAGACGGGGTAACTTGAAACGGGCAGGTGGCAAAAATACTTTTATTATGGATGTTCAAAGAGAACCATTTATCTCCCTCATTTCAGAAATTGCCGTTTTCAAATCAAGCTTATAGCTGGTTATACATATTTTTTCCTGTACATTCAAATATTGTCGTCAAACAATGCTTGACTTTACTGATTTTTGACACATCGGTGGTGGACCTTTTTAACCCCGGACCTTCATATATTACTATCTATTCTTCGATAATTTCTGGGAAGTTTTAACTGGGAAAATGTTATTCGACAAAATGTCCATTTGATCGATACCAAATTTAGGTTCTGAATTTAAATAACATAAATAAAAAATAATATAACCTTAAAGAATGAACAAAATTGGAGCTGTTTCTAGGGACTCTTTGTCGATCTTTATTGACTCGACTAAAAGTCGGTCGACAAGAGCACATATCTGTATGTGTAAAATAATCCTTGGATACGAGTAGAGGGGTCGGACACATGAGGATATGACTCGCTCTGTCGGATCTATATAAAAATTTTGAAAAATTTGCCGCCCCCTAAATTATGCCGCCCTAGGCCCGAGCCTCACAGGCCTATGGGGTAATCCAGCACTGTTTATATTAGAAATTCATGTTATTTGTTAATAAATATGTTTAAAAGATAAATTTGGTTATAAATTATAACCATATAATTCTTCTCCTCTATGGGGTAATCCTAACTATATATTTCAAAATTAAGGCGGCACTTTAAATCATATTGGTAGAGTGGCTTGGCACACTACAGTTAAAAGCTTGCCGACCCCTGATATATACCATTGTATGAAGAAGACTTATTTTTATCACTTGTCAGAGAAACACGGTCTCAGATTTACTTGATTATTGATAGATTTGTAATCAGTTGCAATATATTTATATATAGGAGACTTAAAAACTCTCACACTACTTCTTCCCTGAATCGAGTTGGAGTTTTAACTCAGCTCACGGACCTGCCCTAGGCCAGCACACCCATTATTATTATTATTATTATAGGAGACTTATTCCATGCCACTTTTTTCATTATTTATTTCTAAGATCATAAATATCTTTTTATTGAATAATATACTATAGTACTGAAATCTACAATCTAATATCTCTACTGCTTGTCATTGGGCTGATCATGGTGGTATTACAAATCCAGAACCAGTGGTCACTAATCCATGTTATTAATACTTAATTTATATAAATTTAAATATAAAAACAAAAAATAATACTTAGCAATTGCCTTGATTATCAATAAATGCATTTTAAATAATGTTTACCGTATAATTCATACTA